ATCACAAGAAAAAAGTTCGTCAAGCTTTGTTATTCGTTTTATGCACCCCCGCCCCCCCCCCCCCCCCCCTCCCCTCAAAAAAGTCACTTTTCATCAAAATGATCGAAATTAAGATAAATGCAGGGGAACATAGCCCGTGATCTGATCTCTCATAAACGAAAATCTTTTTCGTTTTTCTCAATTGATGATATGTCAAACGCGTAACCCAAATTTCTCAGTTCAGGTCCATGTGATATATTTAAGTTTTTTTTTATTTGGAAGAGCATGTCAAGATGCAGTGCATGATAGAGTGCTTTCTTTAAATTAAGCTTTGTTTTTATTAATATATATAGATACTTATATAATTAGAGCGCCATTTTTAGAGTGTTTTTTGAGTCATTGAACTTGTGATCCCTTTTCTGCACTTAAAAAAAAATAAGAATTTAAAAAAAAGGACTTTATCATGCACTGCATCCTCACATGCTCTTTCCAACAACAAAAAATTAAATATATAGAATGAAACTGGACAGAGAAATTTGGGATCTCAAATCAGATATTTTTGGCCTTGTTTAATCAATATCTCCCTTGCACGTCATGGTACAGGACTGAAAATTTTATCATAGCTTTTCCACTCGAGGCCCAACATGTCCTGAAAATTTCATGCGATTTGAACGTACCTGGGCTGAGATCGGTTTTTGAGGAGAGGGGGGGGGAGAAGGCCCTAATTATTATTATATTTAAAGGTGATACAAGATTCTTTTCATAAACTTACGACTATTCGAGATTGACATCATCACAGTTGAACATAAGTTTTTTGTGTTTGAACAGACATGTACTAAACTATGGTACAAAAATCTATACCCAGCATATTCGTCTTTCGATTACTTAAAGACAATTCTGTACTCTACAATAGTATTGAGTTCACGCTATGCCAACCATTTTTTTCCAGCAAGTATTTGTGTTAGTAATCATGCTTCATTATGCATTATCAATTTGTTGAAAATATTTTTCAAATAATCTTTGATTAAAAAATTCATCATCTCGTTTACATCACTCAATACAATGCTTGGTAATTTTTGGTTCCAGCAAGCTTTGTTGAACATGACTGACACAAAAGATGCAATGAATACATGAAGCAATAGTAGATGACAAACTCTGAATATGTCGTGAATAAATCGGTTCAAATTTTTCAAACTGCAATTGAACAATCTTCATCAACTACAGTTGTTTAGCTTCAAAACAACGTTTCGTATCTTTAGAAAATATATCAATCTCCAACTACTCATTCATAAAGATGCTATTGCTCTACTACATCGGAATGTATTATAATTACTTTTTTTTTATTCTCCTGATTCTACAGATAAAGTACCACGCATTTTTTCAGTTGCTTGATCTATTCGATAAAGTTTATAAATCAGATGATTCCTAATCATTACATCGAGTACCGTCATGAAGATGATGAATTTTTTTTAATCAAAAATTATTTAAAAAATGCCTTCAAACAAATCGATTGTGTGTAATTAAAGCATGGCGACTAGTTCAAATACTTGTGGGAGAAAAAACTTAATCAATAGTTTCCTCTGGGATTTTGTCTGCCAAAATTTCCAGGTTTGATACGTCTTAAGTACCATCGAAGGGAAATTTGAACAAACAACTATTCGGAAATAATGAAAAATTCTCGTTCTAAAAGACTACTTCTAACATTCTCAGTAGTTATATTTTAATGATCGAAAAATGAGTGAATATTTACTTTATGACAAGACTTTCAAATTATTCTATACGATGTAAATTTTTTAAAACAATGAGAAAATAAATTTTATTTTCAAGTTAAAATTATTCTTCCTATCAACAAAATAAGAATTAGGTATAAGAAATATATTTTTGTTTTTAATTTAGGTGGTAATTCTAAAACAGCTATGATTGCCGCAATATCTCCAGCTGATATAAATTATGAAGAAACTCTTTCAACTCTTCGTTATGCTGATCGAGCTAAAGCAATTGTTTGTAAAGCAGTTATTAATGAAGATGCTAATGCTCGACTTATACGTGATTTAAAAGAAGAAATAATGAAATTAAGAGAATTATTAAAACATGAAGCTGGTATTGATTTATCACCAGATGGTGCAGCTATATCACTTGCATCGGCAAATATTTCAAAAAATTCACGTCTTAAATCAACATCATCACAAAGTAGCGAAGATGCTTTAGAACGTTTAAAAGAAAATCAAAAATTAATGGATTCATTATGTATGTCATATGAAGAAAAACTTAAAAAAACAGAAAAAATTATGGCTGAACGGTAATAAATAAATATTTGTTTGTATCGTTTATATAATGATTATCTATTTGAAGAGAAGCTGCTTTTCATGAACTTGGTGTTTATTCAAAAAATGATGGAAATGCTGTAGGAATTTTTTCACCGAAAAATGTATGAATTTACGATTAATCCGTATAGATCATTTATAGTAGCTTCTTTTTTTTGTATATTTCAGTCTCCACATCTTGTTAATCTAAATGAAGATCCATTAATGTCCGAGTGTTTGATGTATTTTATTAAAAATGGTACTACACGGTAAGAGAATTTTTTTTATCATTTCAAATACATATACTAGGTAATTTCAGTTTTGGAGAAAAGCTAAATAATACATAATGTTCGTTTTGATGTATTCGTAAAATTCATAGATGAACTATTGAGAATAGATTATCATATGAGTATTAATAATTCCTTCATATCTGATTAACATCGATATTATTCTCTCTTATTTGATAGTTTCGTATTAGGTTAAAGGGAAGGTAGCATTTCATAACATATGCGAGTTTTAAATTTTCTAGATAATACAATTCATAAGAAGCGGAACTACGATATTAGATTGAGCTCAAACATTTGTTTTTTGATTAATAGCGAAGCAAACTTAGAAAACTTTATTTTGTATGATTACATGTTGGATTCTACATTGCCAAGTGTTTAAAGTAGTACTCCTTGGGAACAAGTACCAGAAACTTGAGCTCGTTCGGTTTCAATGATTTCTTATCTATAGGTAGTACATAGTATTTTAATAATATATCTAAAAAGATTTTTGAGCTTCTATTGATGGTGAACAAATCTATTCCATCTTTCTTCCGGAGGCCATAGGTTTTCGAAAAACTCGTATTTTTGAATTCTGATCTGAAACTTTGTGCATGTAAAGAAATCAACTAGACTAACTTCAATAAAAGAATTTACAAGTTTCGAATAAAGTCTCTTCGAGATATAGACCCTTTTCTATGGAAAGTGTATATAATATGCATTTTTTAGAAAATTTCATATCTCGAAGAAACTTTCTTCAAAACTTGTGAATTCTTTCAATCTGATTATTCTCTATATGCACAAACTTTCAGATGAAAATTTGATAGTTTTGTCAAATAACAATAGAAATTCAAATGGTTTTAGAGTTTTTATTAGAACATTATGTAGTATATATAGGCAAGAAATCCTTGAAATCGGAAGGGAACAGCTGAAGAGATTTCCTCGATCGCTTACATGTCTAAATAGTATTTTCCATACAGTAAGCAAACCCACAATGCAATTTTTTTTTTGTGAACACCACTGCTTCTTCATTTTTCAGTGAAGTGAATCGAAAATTCTTTCGATAATCAAAATTAAATAAAAACAAACGTTGACGTGCGTCTTTAAATGCACATCTTTTGATAGAAGTTGTGAGTATTGTATGAGCCATGCTAAGTCGATACAATTCAAAATGCGAATTGGAAACAAGAAAGACTGATTGTGTTATTCAATTGAATGACATAAAAAGATTTGCCGTCTTCGTAAATTTCCTTTAATAATCTCACGAAGACTGTTGAATCAACTCGAGATTCAAAATGTTTGCCCGTCGGTAATATAATAAGCTTATTATTATCAATTACTAACATCCATGATTTTTTATTTTATAATCATATTAAATCATGTCTAATAATAAATTTAAACTTCGATTTTTTTCAGTGTTGGTCGTCCTGATGCACCTATTCATCAAGATATTGTTTTGTCTGGTTCACATATTGAACCTGAACATTGTATAATAACAAATTCACAACATATTGTTCATTTAAAACCTTGCAGTCAAACAGCAATGTGTTATGTTAATGGAAAAAAAGTTGATGTTGATGTAACCGTTGAATTAACATCTGGATCTCGTGTTATCTTTGGTAAATCTCACGTTTTCCGTTTCCTTAATCCTGAACAAGCACGACGAAAGAATGTTAAAACAGAACCAACTGGTGGTATGTTTCAGTATTTTATTTGTTTGTTGAATAAGAAATTTTTCTTTAAAATCTAGAACCAACTGATTGGAATAGTGCAATACAAGAATTATTAGAAAAACAAGGCGTTGATATAAAACACGAAATGGAAAAAAAGTAAGAAGATTTATTTGAAAATTTTCTTAAAGAAAATATATTCTTTAATTTCTTAAGACTCTTAGCAATGGAAGAATTATTTAAACGAGAAAAAGAAGAAGCTGATCGTCTTTTACAAAAACAAAAACTTGAATATGAATCTAAAATAGTTGAATTACAAAAACAAGTTATGGAAACATCAATAAGTCAATCGATGCTTTCATCTATTTTATCATCATCTGGTTTAATTGATTCATTATTATTTCGACAAAATACACTTCCAGAAGATCTTAATGAAACTGATAATGATACATTTAGCTGTAAGTTTTCTTTTTTAAATAATTAAAAAATAAATAAAAAAGACGGCAAATTCAATTTTAATTTCAGATTGTTCTTGGTCAGAACACACTTATCAATTAGCTTGGTGGGCATGGAAAAAATGGCGTTTTCATCGTATGACATCATTACGAGTAAGTTTCATTGTATTTTATTTTTAATTTTTTTCTTAAAATTCGTTGTCATGTGTTTCTTTTATTATTTCACTTATAATATTTTTTGAGACAATAGTTTAACTCATTCCCCTTGAATAGGATTATTCAAATCGTATTCAGCCCATTTGGCTAATCAAGGTATAACGTTTTTTTTTGACTGTTTAATATTCATGTTTGTCTTATCTCCTATCGATGTTGTTTTTGAAATTTTACATAAAAATTAATTGTTTTTTTTGTAACCATGATAATTGAAATCAAGAGTTAAGTCGTTGTCTTTTGTTTATGTATGATTTTATTTTCTTATTTGTTGTCGATCCCTAAGTATTTGCATGAAAGCAACATGATTTTTAAGAACAATGTAAGCTTATTGAAAACATCAGTAGTATGTGATATTGTAGTCTTTTACATTTCTAATAGGATATATTGGTAAAAGATGACACGCACAATTTAAGTGCGAGTCAATAAGCAAAAACGACAGAAACTTACGAGAGAGTATTTCGAACTGTTGAATGCCGTTCGATCTGATATTATGGCTACGAGTTGATCTCAGTGGTTGCATAGGACCTGTTGAAACTAGAAGAAACTTAGAAGGATTCTTTCCCATATACTGCTGTTTTAGTGTATTTTTACGAGATATTAAATCCACAAAAGACCATGAAATTCCAGTAAAACGACGGAAAACCTTGTTCTTTTTGTGGATCTGATATCTCAAGAAGAGACTACTCGTTTTTGAGCTGAAATTTTTTGAAGATTCTAATGACTTCAAAGGACTAAAATTCGTTTGTCCGATGTTTCATAAATACCATGTCAAAAATAAAAACTCCAGCGTATAACACCCATAACTCTAGAAGGACAGCGCATCTAAATTTTCTTATGGTCTCAAGAAGCTTTATATAATGATTGAAGTCTCATCTCAAAAGCAAGATATCACCTCTGATGGTTCTTTCGTAACTATAGGGAACGTTTCAGAGCGAAATTCTTATTTTTGAAAAGTTTCGAAAGTGCCTCGATCTGATAAAAGAATTTAGTAAAATAGCCATAACTTTTCACTAGTAGATCATGGGCTTGAATCCTTTCAGGTTATCCTTAGCCTCATGTAGATCTACTCATAGTCAAAGTATAATCAGGTCGAACTACATCAGAGAGTAGAGCGTGTTCCGTCGTTGATGTCGGTAAATAGAAAGGACATTATGATTTATATTGACATGTTGGTATTTTATAAGAAATATTCAGTTGATAGATAAATGACAGCAGCGGCTTAAAAATCAAAACTTTTTTAGTATACATTAAAGTAAACTTCATATTATGAAATCTTTTACTAGAAAAACGATTCTCGAAATATTGTCATTGGACTTTAGACCATCTGTTTCTTTTTCGAAAAAGATATTGATGATCAAGAGATTCAGTGTATAAGTATAAGGGCTAGAAAATGTGCGAGACCAATATTTTTTGGTCCCGATCTAGAGAAAACTATTCAAGAATTAGTTCATATTACATTTAAAAAATATTCTTTCTGATTGATATAAGATAGGTCGCTTCAAATATTTAACAGTAATTTTTAGTTTCAGTTGATACAACTTTTTTTCTCGTAATCCCAATCATTGGGATTAAAAGTGAGTTAAGTCCTTTGTGTTTTGTATAATCTAAAAAAAAGGATGAATATACAATATGCAACTGATATGAATAAGCTAGATGGCAACATGAATTTATAAACATCCACTGTAAAACTACGATTAAGAAATTCAATGGGCTTCCATAGGAGAAGAATATGATTTAAAAGAATTTTCCACATATCATAAAAATAATTCCATTTATTCAATCTGATGAAACAAGAATATTGGTATTATTTTTTATTGTTTTTTTTTAATCTTTGTTCTTTGTATATTTACACTACTTAACAAAAGTATCTCCCCCCCTCGGATCTCAGTCCTTACAAGAACTGAACGGCTGAAAATAGGTGCGCAGGTAGCCCATAAAGAATGTGGATCGGCGGCACCATCTACACCACAGGGGCTCGAGTCAGAATGGAGTTCTAATGGATGTCATTGGTATGCATTGTGAACTTGATAACTCAAGAAAGATAAAATATTTTGAGTCGGCCAACCCCTCATTTTGTAGCCCTACCTAGTAGCTATTTGTACTAAAAATTTCATTAAAGTTCATCCATCTATTGATGAACTATGATCATTTTAGTGTAAATATTGATATACCGAAAAACTATATCATACCATTGAGAGATTAATAACTTAGTGATAGTTCAATGAATTCTTCTGAAATTTTCAGAAGATATTCCCCCATCATTGGGTATTGTGTTCTGAAAGTTTCAGAAGCAAATCTCTTACTAATGAAAAATGGTATGTGAATGGTTGTTGAGTTCTTGTCNAAAACACGGAGAAGAAGGCTTAGGGAGGCTCATTTAATTTGAAAAAAAGTTGTAGGTCTCATCTTTAATGTAGACACGATCGGCAAAATTTCGATCGATTGTTCTTTAATACTTACGAGGGAACTACCCGAGGTGCTAACAAGCTTTTGAGCTGAAATTTTGTCCACAAATAGGGAATGCATAGACTAGGAAAAGTCTAAGAGGATATGTGCCCAAGTTGAGATTTGGCTGAGATATCGGCTTTTTACTATAGTTTTTCTATGGGACCCCATTTTTTCCATTAAATCAAAGTTTCAAGTTTTGACGTGAAACTTTGCCCATATCAAGACCTCAACTAGATTAGCTCATCTACAAACTTTCAGAATTTTCGGACTAAGCATTTCCGAGATATAACGTTTTCAAAATATCTATGTATATAAAAATATCCGTAAAAAACTGTGTTTATGCTAACAGACTCATATCTCCAGAATGCTTAGTCCAAAAATTCTGAAACTTTGTAGATGAGCTACTCTAGTTGATGTCTTGATATAGGCAAAGTTTCACGTCAAAATTCGAAACTTTGACTTAATGGAAAAAATGGGGTCCCATAGAAAAACTATAGTAAAAAGCCGATATCTCAGCCAAATCTCAAGTTGGGCACATATCCTCTTAGGCGTTTTCTAGTCTATGCATTCCCTACTTGTGGACGAAATTTCAGCTCAAAAGCTTGTTAGCACCTCGGGTAGTTCCCTCGTAAGATGTATTCGTGATTACTTTAAGTTCTTGATTACTATCATTTATTAACATAATCTTTCACAAATAAAATGTGCACATATCGATTTCAAAGAGTTATATCAATTATTATATTTAATTACACAGTTAACATTGTTCCACTTCATAAAAACTGATGATATTTAATGTAGTTGATAGTGTGTATTCCGTCTCGTGTATCGATGAGAAATGTCAGTGAACTGAATGAATGCTATGATTTTATTTATTAGCTAAGTAAAACTTGCAAACGGTTTGTATAATAAAGATTTCTGATTGTCATGAGTTACGAGGTATGAAACCCATGTGAGAAATTTTAATGAAAACTCAGAATAAAAACAATTAATATAATGCTCTGAGTTTTTAACTTTACAGATAGATTTCAAATAATTTTAATCTTTTTTTATGCATAATATAGTCTTATCAATTAAGAAAGACTAACATCACAATGAAATCAATCTTCAAAGTTGAGAAATCAGACTTTTTTTTTCCTACTCTCTCACGCGGGACATCTTTCTTAGGAAAAAAGTAATAAAATTTGAACTGGACGGTCCATTTTAAACCTTGTTAGCAACAGCAGTTACAGTGTGTTTCACATTTTAATCGTATAAAATATTACTCTGATAACTTTTTTTTTAGAGCTTTTGTTTATTTGACTAATCTTCTTTATGGTTTACCGTTAGAACAAAATATCGCTATTGTATCTGAACGAGGTGATATAAAAGGTTATTTAAAAATTGCAGTACTACAATTACAAACATCAATATCATTATCAGCGGAAGAAACAACAAATGAACAAATTAAATTAATGAAAACATATAAAAATGCTAGTGGATTGACAAAAATTGTTTTTGATGATGAAACATATTTTCAAGTAAATACAAACTTTTTGAATACAATTAAGAAAACAAAAAAAATCAAAAAGAAGAGTCTTTTCTCAAAATCAATATCTCTTTCAAATTCATGACGAATCGACTGTTTAAAGTTCCAAAACAAAAATCGACTTTCAGACAAATTGTTATTTTTATTAAGATTTAAATAATATACAAAAAAATATTTTTATTTTCTCTAGGATATGAAAAGTTCATGTTCAACTGATTTAATTAAATCAAGTGATTCATTAGATATTAATCTTCGTTATGTTGAAGGACAATCACAATGTGGTCTTAATGATGTTCCTCAAGCAAAATCTGCTATTGATTCTTTATCTTCATCTATACCAAATAGTAAGTATATACTACTAGTCAAAAATATCTTCCATCTCTTCAGATCTTGGTTCCTATGAGAGCTAAACGTATGAATATTTTTCTATAGGTAGTTCACAGATAATGTAGATCATCGGAGACGTCAACGCTAATATCGCTCAAGCTAGAATGAAGGTTATTCTAGATGACATCCACAATTAATGTGAATTTCGTAGCTCGAGAATAGATGAACTTTTTGATTTTTATTGAAAAGATGGATATGCAAAAGAAAACCATAGAATGTCGTTTAACAATCAATAACTCAGTGACTGTTTGATGAGTCATTCTGAAATTTTTAGAGGATGTTTTGCCATAGTTGGTCATTGTTTTCTGAAAGTTACAGAAATAAGTGCTTGACTAAATGGTAATGGCACACTGTTGACCATCACAAATTTGTCAAGACTCAATTTTATAGTGAATAATGATATATGAGGATATAGCTTGTATTATGTTATAGAAAGATTATATTTTTTAAAACTTTCGAGTACAATTACCAGCGATTCCTACGGTTTAAATTATTGGATGCAGTTTTTAATATCTTCTCCACACCTTCAGTTTTATGACTGTATGTGGCAACGAAGACAGCTAGGTTTTATTTTTTCCTAAGAGTTCTGAACCGTCCGAAATAGTTTTACTAGTGAAATGTTGACAAAGAAAAAGGATAGCTCTACTTGGCAGAAAAACAGGTTTATTGATTTGTGGTTTGTTTTTAGAGTAATATATGAGTAATTATCAGTCTTGCAGCATGAAGTTTTAGTCTAACTCATGATCCTTCATTGCTCAAAACGATAATCTCATTTGCTTGAGTAATGAAGACTCCATAGTCTTTCCAAGTTCACGATGATTGTCGGTGCACCATTTTCGCTTAGTATAACATTTGCTTCTAAAACTTTAAGGAAATAATAGCCAACTATGGTAGAATACCTCCTGAAAATTTCAGATTGATCCATCAAATGATCACTAAGCTATTGACCAACCGTTCAATGACATTCTATGATTTTCTTTGCATATTCATCTTTTCAATAAAAATCAACAAATTCATCTATTTTCGAGCTACAGTAATTGTGGATGTCATCTATAATAACCTTCGTTCTAGCTTGAGCGATATTAGCATTGATCTGCATTATCTATGAACTACTTGCAGAAGAATTTTCAGACATTTAGCTTCCATAGATGCTAAGATCCGAGATGAAGGGCACTTGTGGGCAGTAGTATAAATTTTTGTCTTTGTAACTATTAGAAGAAACATCAACAATGACTACAAGTGATGTTCCATCAAATGAATTGTTACAACAATTTGGTATTGAATATCAATTTCGTGTAACAATTTTAGAAGCCTCACAAATTCCTCTTGAATATGAAGATATTTTTTGTCAATTTAATTTTCTACATCAACATCATGAAGCTTATTCAACAGAACCAATTAAAAATCCAGGCAAATCTGATGTATCACTTGGTTTTTTTCATGTACAAAATGTAAAAAATTAAAACAAAATTTAATTTTGAAATAAGCGTAAATTTTTTTTTGTTTCAAATTTTTCTAGTTCAGTGTTATCGTTACTCGTTCATTCATTGATTATCTTCGTACAAAACCAATTGTCTTCGAAGTAATGGGTCATTATCAAGAACATTCAAATCCAACACTTAACAAGTAAATTTTATTTATTTGATAAACTTTTAATTTTTTTATAAAATTTTTTATTTGATTTAGCATAACATCAACTCCTTCGCCAACAACTATTGCAGCAACAAAGGCTTTTTCGAAACCTATACCTGCTCAAACATTAAATCCAATGACACCTGTCTGGTTAGTGAATACATAAATTTAATAATTTTTTTCTAATAAACTTCGAGTGATTAAATACACACAAAGATTCATTGAAAAATAATGTTTACTTGAATTATCTAATCGAGTAACTCACGAAAGAACATTCCCAACTGTCAAATCGCTTCACATTTGAGCCTTTTACGATCCTGAAGAGTATAGAATCCCCTGTGAACCTGAATGATCAAATTCCGTATTGAAATTTTATCTATAGATGGGCTTTATAGTCACTGTAAAACTCTTGGAACTTTGTCTTCAGACAAACATATCATTATCGCAATATGAGCTTGTCATGAAATTATCCTTGTTTTGAAATACACATCAAACGAGACATTTCTTTAAAATATAAATGCCATGGCAACAGTATGCTTGTTTTAACTCAAACTCTGAAGAATTTCTAATGAATATAAATCCTATCAATGTACCAAATTTCATTTCGAAATTCGATCATTCATACTTCAAAACATACTGGAAAAATTCGAACGAGTCGCTAGTTCAATGCAAATCTCAATTAGTAGCGGCGCCAGAATTTTTCGTCTGGGTGAGCTGAGCCTACCCTGGGTTTTTACTAAATAAAGAACTGTCTTAAAACTATCGATACCCAAAATTTTTCAGGGTGGCTCAATTAAGTTTGGGTGGGCTGAGTTCACCCCTGGCGCCGCCGCTAATCTCAATATATTTTTAAGTCATCACCACAATTCTTTCAATCAATCCTATAGTAGTATAGAAAAGGAATCAAAAAGACTTACAGAACATTTCATTTCATAACTGAAATATCGTTTTCAAAAGTATTGATTTTTATACAGAATTATCTTTACAATTCTGATTATCCTAAAAATAAATGAACCTTTGATTGATGTCCTTCCTTAAATATGACAAAGAATAAAAGTAGCTCATTCGAGCAGAGAAAATTGTATATATATAATTGAATATAAGAAAACATCATAGAACTTTCACAACACAGAATGCCCCGTTTTTTAGCACTTAAAATGAGCAAGTATACTTTTTTCTTACAGACTGCACAAAACGATAAAGTAAACAATGGTCTATAAAATGAGACGTGTCCAAATTCTATACGATCATTCGTTTTTTATACTTTGAATAAATTAAAAATCTGCGGATTTAATTTTTTGAAAATCTTATATATAGAATCCTGGTAATCATTTTTATTCTATTTCTTAGTACAACAAATCAAGTTCATGCTATTCATGATCTTCTTGTTTGGTATGAAATCTTTGAATTGTCACCAAGTGGCGAGTAAGTTATTATTTTAATTTTATTTTTTATCGATAATCTTCTATCATTTATTTCTAGATATGCTGCTGTAACAGTTGATCATTCTGATGATGTATCATGTTCTGGTCGATTTATTCTTCATCAAGGTATTCAACGTCGTATTGGAATAACATTATGTCATGAAACAAGTGCAGAACTTATTTGGAAAAATGTTCGTGAAGTTGTTATTGGTATATATAAAATAATATTTGAAAGAAAAAAAAACAAATATTTATCAATATTATTTTCATTAATTAGGTCGAATTCGTAGTCAACAAAATTCTATATTTGATGAAACTGATGGTCAAACACTTTCATTAAATATTGTATCATCTCATTATATTCAAAAACAACATGATGAACGAACATTTTATCATTTTGAAGTTGCATGGGATTCATCATTACATAATTCATTATTACTTAATCGTTGTACATCAAATAGTAATTCAGTTTATTTAACAATATCATCATATATTGAAATAGAAAATTCTAATCAACCAGCTATTATAACAAAAGATCTTTGTCTTATATTATGTCCACGTAGTGGTGATTCAACATCACGTATACGTTCATCATTAAAAAATTTTTTTCTATCAACTAATTCTATAACACGATCATCAACAAATGATGAACATTCAAATTGTATATCAGCTATATATGAATTAAAATTAAAATATACTTCAACATTAAATACAATAACACAAGATTTTTCAAATGTAAGTCCTGGTTCACAACGACGACAACGAAAAGTTATTGATACATCGAAAATTTATGTACGTGGAGAAGAAATGTTACATGGTTGGAGACCAAGAAGTGATTCATTAATTATTGAACATCAACAAGATTTAGAAAAATTATATAAAATTGAATGTGTATGTTTAATAATTGAATAACAAACAAAATTTTGTTTTTTTTGTTTCTTCATTTTGTGAAACACGATATAAAAGAAATGTTGAAGTTTAGGAGTAAAAATTTCAATTCTCTACCGACAGATGTTATTGATATACGATCAAAGGTCGTATATCAATAACCTCTCGCTATAATATGTGAACTACTTTCATATTATATTTCTAGCGGATTAAATGAAATGATGATAAAAGAAATGTATCTAAAAATAGATAGAATTAAGTGATCGTGTTTCACATTTTAATATCGGAGAAATTGTGGTAACAAATTTTGTTTTGTTATTGATTAGGTTGAACATACAAGACATGTTTTACAAGTTAAAAATTGTCTTAAAAATTCTACACAATCATCAAATGATGCATCTTCAGAAAAAATCCAAACTTCAATAAATGATTCAGATGTTTCATTTAATGATCATCAGCAAGAATTACTTCGTCGTTGTTTAACAATGATGGTACCTTCATTACCAGCAATATCAAAATTGACTGTACCCGAAATTGAAGTAAAAAAAAAAAGAAAGATTTATTCAAAATTTTAATAATTTAATTATTCAATAGGTAACAACCGATCGTCTTTCATCGGATGATAATCGTGCTATGCATTCATTAGTGAAATCTTCATCATCAACGTCAATGGGTACACAACCATCACATATGCACACAACAAATATGATGAATTCATTTATTAAATCATCGTCAAATGGTTTAGATTTTGCAAAGTAAATAAAAAACAATTAAACTACGAATAGCTCTATAATAACAAAGATCCATCAGAATGAAAAAAATTATTAACAAAATTTAAGAATTATCGGTTTTTTTAAAACTTCTTCGCGAAATATTGAGTTCATTTTCAAAATCAATTAATCGACTATGGAGAATTTAAAATAGACTAAAAGTCGTACTTAGACTATTATTTTTTTAAAATTTTCAATACAGTATAGTACTTAATTGTGGAAAATCCATTTTTGAAATCATATTATATCTCTTAAGATGAAATCCTGCTTTGTTTCAAACAACAAACAGATTAATATCTCCTAATTAGTCTTCTAACACTAAAAACTTTTATAAACATTAAAAAAGTATTATCATTGGCGATCGAACCCTATTCATAACTTCTTGGATATCAACAAGTTCAGACGCGTTGAAAACATTCACTGATTTGTCTAAACAATCTTGTTTCATTTTTTTGAGAATAGCATTTCCGGATATAAAATCTTTGTTCGAATACCGAAACGTTGTTCCAAGAGCGGAACGACGAGTACAAGAATATTCAGCATTGAAAAAGTTAAGCACGCAAAAATGAATGAAAGCAAAGGATATGAATGCGGATGTGTCTATAGCTTTGTACATTCTCTTCTTCTATTTCTCGTCCTCATCATTCCAGTTTTCTCCCAAAATAGAAAAAACATTGTTCAGCTCCTATCAAAGGATTCATTCGAACTGGGAACTAATATCGGCGCCAGAAGTCAGTGCACTCGGATGTTTTTTGAATAACTTTCGATAGGAACAAGTTAGAGACCTGCAGTTTTCAGCATTTGATAGCCAAGACTCATAAGCATATTTTCATAAGCAAAATCTTTGCTGAGAAAAAAATTCGAAGATCGGTTTTTCAGCGCATCTCTGGAAAACGACGCTGGATTTCTGGAAACTGTCGTAGGAGTATATTGATTTTTTACATATTCGGAATCAGCATCGAAAACTGAGTCGATTCATGTATGGTTCGAATCTTTTAATGAACTTTTGTTTCGTCGAAAAATTCGTCCCTAGTCCCTCTCTGACCGGCAGGTAAAAAAAATGAACTCAGTCAAAACGACATTTTTATTATTTATTCATTTGCCATTTTATGTTTTTCTAGCATTTTACAACCTCTGAACGTGCTTTCCACTATATAAGTGCCTTTTTGACTGAATTCATTTTTTACCTACCCGTCGGGAAGACTAGAGAAGAATTTTTCGATGAAACAAATAAAGTTCATGAAAAGATACGAACCATACATGAATCGACTCAGCTTTTCATGCTGATTCCAAATATGTAAAAAAATCAATATACTTCTACGACAGTTTCCAGAAATCCGGCGTCGTTTTCCAAAGATCCGCTGAAAAACCGATCTTCGAATTTTTTTTCTCAGCAAAGATTTTGCCTACGAAAATATGCTTGTAGGTCTTGGCTATCAAATGCTGAAAACTGCAGGTCTCTAACTTGTTCCTATCGAAAGTTATTCAAAAAACATCCGAGAGCACTGACTTCTGGCGCCGATATTAGTTAACCCGTATTCATACTAAAAGTTGGCTTAACATTATCTGGCGAATTAATTAGTACGGAAGAAAGCTAGAGAATAAAATAGAGTTCATTTCGTCCTAATCAGTACAGAATAGATAAACGTTTGATTTCATGAAAATGAAATTTGATCTGATTAGATTTTCTCATTTGGATTCATCTACTCCAATATCATCTGTACATTGTGTTAATAACATTCATGATTCTACATCACTTAATATGCTAAAATCTCGTTCAATGGAAAGTTTAATGAATGCATCGAATATTGCATTAAAATATACTCTATCAATTGAAGAAGTTCATTTAGCATCGACTGTATTACGTCGTGGTTATTTGAAATTTTTAGAAGAAAAACAAACAGATTGGCTGAAAAAGTTTGTTGTATGTAAAATAGAAATATTTTTCAAATTTAAAAGCTGAAAGAGAAAATATTTTTCTAGATTGTACGACGTCCATTTGTATTTATATATAATCATGAAAAAGATCCAGTTGTACGTGCATTAATTAATTTAGGAACAGCACGTATTGAATTTAATGATGAAGAATCAACAAATGGAACAAGAGTAATGAATTGAATTTTGAAAATTTTGTTTTTTTAGAAGATTATTGTTTTTCTTTTTCTAGAATACTCGTAATACTTTTTCCGTGGTTTCAAAATATCGTAGTTTTCTTATTCAACCGTTAGTTGAAAAAGATGTTTATGATTGGCTTTATGCATTTAATCCATTACTTGCTGGACAAATCAAGTAGATGAATATGATTATAATATCAATTTATCATTTGATTGTTTGTTTTTAGATCTCGATCATCAAATCGATCAAAAGGAAACATTGGCTAATTGACAAATAAAAACAAAAAAATAGTTGTCAGATGTAAAACATGACGCAACTTACGTTCAGTTTGTCTTTTTTTGTGGGCAATATATGTGTTCTTCATTCTATTTCTATAAACGACACATCGATTTCTAAAAAGAGACTAAAAATTAAATCTAGTCGTTTTCTTGTTTTTCTTTTTATATGAATTAATAATAATTTTTTTCCATAAAATTTTCTTGGTGTCTTTCAGTGCTTCTTAATTCACTATTTTATTTTGTATGTGTTTATGTGTATGAAGATAAATCAAAATGATTATGTTTGAGAAACAGTAACGAATCTGTGTACATGTTTGCTGTTTAAATTTAATTTGCAAATAAATATATATATATAATAAAATCATTTTAATAATCAAAAAAATTCAGCTCAATAAGACTTACGAGAATATTTTGATCGAAATAAAAAAACCTATTGATATGTTCTATATTTAGAAGTCACTAGCAGCCTGCGGTTTTCACTATTTGAAAGGGAAATGTGTGAAGCAAGATTTTGACGAGGATTTTTCGAAAAAACTTTCTCAAGTAACTACAAGTTCCAATTCAAGTACTCGATAGCGGAGATATTTGTCTGTCGACCTATGTAAGGCCGGTCATTTTAATTTATTCCATTCAAGAGTTACGGGCATTTCACTGAAAGCCTTGAAATCAGCCAACTGATCATTGGTCATTCTGAACTGTATTGTGTTTCATAGGCGGCGGAGCGTTTTTAAAAACGTCGGATCTCAAATTCAGAGCATGGGATCCAGACGAAACGTAATGGAGANCATGACTTGAATTCGGCACTAAACAAATATCTCAATCAAAATACAGGAGTAAACTGGTAGAATAAGTTGAACATTTAAATGTGATCTTAAAAATCTCAAAAATGAATATATTATGATAAAAATAGAAGTAATAATACATAATTTTATTTTTCAAAAGTCCATATATTCTATTTATGGCTAGATTTTTGTGCTAAATCGGTCGCCATTAAATGATTCCATGTACCTCTATGATGGTGCTTATATTTTCCCTTAAACGGTTGTGTCCCTTAAACGGTGCCCACAAGTGGATGTCAAAGATAAATTAGTAATGGCGTTCGCGGTTTAACTATTGGCTGGTCTTTTGTTTTGAGACAACATCTCATAGTGATATTTATTTGAAAAAAAACTAGTAATAAAAAGCAATGTTCACATGTTAATTGTAGAAAAGAAGCATAAAAATTGCTAATATAGTGTTTGTATAATATTATTCTTTCTTTTCTGTACAAATCTACCTTTTCTTCTATGTAGATGAAATTTCTTGTATAGAAAATTTCGACTTTCATCGCTACAAACGATCTACAATTTCAATGTTAGTCATGGATATTTAAAAAAAACTAGATTTTGATGATTCCTGCACTAGCATAGATGTAAATCAGAAAAAAAACATTGGTTTGCATTACCAAGTGAATAGACCTTTGATTCTGGAGAAACCATAAAGAAAATGTATTTCTATTTTTCTTTTTCCATCATTTACCATCTCCTTGAACAATATAAGAAGCTTGAGTCCTACTATTGCGAAAAAAATTAGTTTTTCGATTCATGACGGAAAAAAATTGTTTGTGAGACGCGATGGATTTAATAATTTTTTTCTTTTTATTCTATTCGAACATTTTAAAAAAGTTGTCAAAGCATAGCAGAGAATAAATTATAGTGTCCTTCGGGTCAAGCACGACAAATCAATTTTAATAATAAATATTTTATCTTAATTAGTTTTGATAAAAATGAAGCTTAGCAGAACAGAATCAATTAGTAATGTATATTAACCCGCAAAAATGCAAAAACTTCTTGAAGATCAAGATTTATTTCAATACAAGATGGGAGAGAAAGGATAATCCCTAGGAATATAGTCATTGCACATAAGGGTGTCATAGCGAGCACCGTTCATGAAAAATTTCAAATTAGCGACATTTTTATGCTTTTTAATCAGCACACCCAAAATCCTTCAATACTCTTCTTGATTAGTGTTTTTGAGTTAAGAATTAATTATAATCTTAATGCCTAAATTTTGTGTATCCACAAAGTGTAGCTTAGAAACAAATGTGTAATATCACACCAATCGATTGCACCAGACCACGGATCAACTGTTATTTTATTAAACGTTGAATTGATACATAAGTAATTCAAAGACATTTTATCGACCATAGTGGACGATTTCGATTTTGAATGAAGATTGAAACAACATCAAATCATACTTCACTTTCATGTCTATTAGTCTGTCTAATGTGCTTGCTTATATTGACAAAAGTAATGTTTTCAAGGCTATTATGTGTTAACAACTGTCGTAAAGAAGACAATCTCAACTGATTTATAATATTGAGCACTAAAGAAAAACTATTTATCGATACAGGCATTTGAAGAGGATACAAAATATTCATCTATTAAAATCACACTATTGATACTAGATTTTTGTTTTTTTATTTATGTAAAGCTCAAAAAACTCTTGGCGATTTTTCAACTTTTTAATTTTTCTATTATTGTTACTAGAATATTTTAGATATCATTCTCACTCTCAAGAGAGCGTATGATTGAGAACTAAAATCTCCGAACTACAACAATAAAAGTTGAAAACTCGAATCGAACTAACGAGCTCGAATTCTTTAAGCATTTTCACGGTAAACCTGAATTTGGTCGAAAGTTAAAATGTCGAAAGACAATGTATAATATTAGATAAAGAAAAGACGTTGCCTGTTATTAATTATAACTTTATTTTAATGTTAGAATAAATATAAAAATCGAATGTACAAGAAAAAAATGGTACAATAGTAAAATAAAATGCAAAAGTAACAAAATCAACAAGTAATATAAATAAACGTATTCTTATTTAGGTTTTTTTACAACCACATATAATAATCCCATGATAGTTCTTGACTGTTAGTGTCATCTCACACTATGTGTTTTGAATACTTCACGATATCTACCTTCCAATATGTCAAGTAGTATGTATAGCATTTCCTTCCAGATTTTACATTCGATATTTTTACTTTCGACATTTTTAGTTTCGACATTTTTATTTTCGACATTTTTCAGGAGAACCATTTTCACCTATTGAATTAGTTAAATTGAAACTTTGACTTTTCATTTTAACCATATGTCGTGAAGATGAATGAAAAAAACAAATCCATCTAAATATACAGCACAGAATGATGACAAAAACAAATACATGTTGAACATGCAATATAAAGGATGTCATGATGATTAAAATCTCTAATGCATGAGAATATTGAACGATGGATAAAATAATGTTTAATTGAAGTGACAACTATATACTTACTTTTTTACATAAAAAATATTATGATTAAATGTTTTACTGTTTTTAAATGAGCTATCTCTATAGCTGGTCTCATCCTTGTAACTTTTAAGGAGAGAAGTGTAAAAAATTTTGCCCGAGATAATATGCATTTAATATATCAATAGTTGAATAGTTGTTTGTTTTGTGTCGTATTTTCCTAAAACTTTTAATGCCAAAAGTGTTCACACTAGTGATTGTTGATGAGGATATGGGTGTAATTCTTATTTCCATCCACATTCTATATTTTGATAGTCCAAACATTGCTCTACAATTCTATAGTATTTCGTCGTTCTTTATTTGCTATGATGATATTAAAATTTTGTGCATAACTGTTCATCTCAGATTTTGTCGAATAAGGAAAACTTTTGCTTCTGCATTGAAATCGTTACTATACTATATTTTATTGTCGGCAGTCAGTCTCTACTTCTCAGAATAGTCGAAAAATGATATGAATGGTTTCGAAAAGGTCGAGCACATGTTTCGGCGTATTTATCATCGAACAACATCCATCCATTGCCTTATTAATGATGATTCTTATATTATAATTGATGAATTGTAAGCACAAAGCAATCTAAATAATGACGTCATCAAATGAATAATCTTCGATTATTGTAAATTTAAATAGATTACGGCTCGATAAGTATCTTAACAGCTGACATTGTAAGTGATCCTGACAGATGTGGCCTGAATTACAGGTCTGGTAAGTCGTTCTTCGTTTTTAACATCTTTTCGACCTTAATAAAACTATTCATGTCACCTTTCAGAGGTTCTAAAAGGTGAAGTCTGATCACTGAAAGCAAAATATATTTTATCATGAATAATTCTCGTTTGAATACATAGTACAGTATAGGATATATTGTAGAAGCGAAAGTTTTCCTTATTCTAATAAAATCACAGGTGAGCATCTTTGATCGAAACTCTTCTTTTAAAATACCAACTGAAGAATGTTGGAATATTATTGAATTATACAGCACTGTTTGGAATATGAGTATATACTACAGAAAGTATTAAAATTATTCAACTAATAGATAATCTTATTTCAAAATCATCTGATTTTCATTAAATTACAACCTATAGTCTCTAGTATACTAGTAAAAGCTTTCAGAACGATCAATTAATCTGTTTAGTTTTTATTGACGATACAATGAGAATTTTTCATTTTTCATTCTTCCAAATATTTTTAATGACTTATGTTTTCAAGTTATCATGGGTCTGTTCTCAGTGGAAATTTTTGCTATGACACATGACTCCGTAGAACAACTTGAGCTCTACATAATTCAATATATCATTAGCAATAGCACAACAAACTACATTAAATATTCTATTTCAATAGAAATTTCATGCTGGAAAATTATTTTACTCGTCTAATATATATTCATTAATCACAGATAGACGTTCTTGTCTTGTCTTATTCACACATCGAAGGAAGTAAAAGTTGTTTTAACAGACAGATTTGTTGGGAATTCTTTTCTGTACGAAACTCTTATCTTTGAAATCAAAACGACTTCTATTACTTAAAGTCTATATCTTTGTTAACCTATAAATAGCACGAGTAAATAAGTACAAATCTCACTAAATATATAGCAAGTTTTTAAGCATCACGTCTTTGTAGATACAAGATGAAATTTACAGCAATGCACTATGTTAAGTTTCAT